TAAAAATTGGTTCTTACTACTCAAAGCATATTGAGAGAAAAACGCCTTGAATTGGAGAATAGCAAAATCAACCATTAAAATAAAATTTAGGTGCTATTTATAAAAATGAATCTACATGCGTGAACATTTTTCACATTTTCTTCAAAATTCAATGGGAGCACTATGGAGGTACCCTCTTTCCAGCAAAAAAGAATCATGGAAATCGGTTCACAAATACCGGAGTTATGGCGTAACATACATACAAAAAAAAAATACAGTCCAATTGAAAACTTTCTGCTTTTTTGAAGTCGGTTAAAAAAGAAAGTTAAAAGGCAAGTTTTCACACAAAATTATTTCACTATTTATTATTTATTATAATAATAATGAACTATATCACTAAGCAACATGTGAGAGAAATCAGACGCACAAAGCCTTACTAGGCGCAATGGTGACAGCCAATAGCCGGTTCCCGGTTCTGTTTCCGCCAGCCCATTTCCCGTAAGTAATGACGCCCGCCGCTGCCGCACTGCCGCATGACAACGGAGGCTTTATGATCTAGGAATCTTTATTTTTCACATCAGCGAATTATGTCGTTTCTTCCTTACATAACAATGTCTTATCCAACAATAAGAACGTTGTAGAATTGCTTTTTCTTTTTTTGAAAATGGTTTACAGGGTCAGTTTCAAATTTTAATACAAATAAACCGACTAACGTTCCGTAGCAGCCGGATTACATTGTACTTCATCTTTATTTTATATGCAGCAAGAGCTACTTAAACTTGTTAAAATTGTGTGAGGTCTAGAAAAAGCATTTTCAGAAAAAATCTTAAAGTCTTAAAAATAGATTTTGTTTTAAAGCCAAGGCGAAAATCGAATAAAGTATTCCATTAGACTACAGACGTTAGTTGTAACCATGTTGTAACAGCTTGTCACGACACGCCGTTGTTGCATGCAAAAGTAATCGGCAAATTGCAGGTTGTACACTACCAATGAACAGGTGGTAGTCGTTACAGAAAATGTGCCTTGTTATTACATTTTTCAATAATTAATAGCACTAATATAGTGGTAAAAGTGCTTACCGCTTAAGCACAAAATTTCAATAGATGTATAATTTCATTAGTACGCAAATACCCGAATCAGGTATAAGAGAGAGAAAATGAGGGACGCTTTTGCCCAACAGAGAGACAGCAACGACATAAGTTTGGACTTTCTCTAAGTGTTTTTTTTTTACCATTAAAACAGACGTTAATTCATATTTTAAGTAATACTACTTAAACCCGAAAGTGCGAGAAATTTAGTAATAGATATCACACAAAATAACTTCATCAACACCTACCATACAAAAAGGTGTCGCACAAGGTACTACACTGGGACCATTTTTATTTATTGTTCTAACCCCTGATTACAAAGACACAACTACCTACTTATTCGCTTAAATTGGGTCCTAAAGGGTATTACGAAGGTATAATACATGGAAGAATTACTAAAAAGTGGATTAAAGACTTTTCGCGACTGTCGAGGACGAGGATAATCACGTTTGAAGTGCCCATTAAGTACCGGCTTCACTGCAGGATTCAATTAGGCTTTGGAGCCTACCTCTTCATTCTCTTTGCTCGCCTGGTAATGTGTTTTCGGTACAACTTTGTTAAATGTATGTTTTCCGTTGAAATTGCAATTGAGCTGGACGATATAAATTATAGAAGCGTTAGAATCGTACAGATGTAATGGTGTATTGATCCGATAAACAGATTAGTCTACAAACACAGGGATCGGTGTTACGGCGCACAAAATAAGAATAAACAAGGGCATAAGACAAACCCAAAGCGAAAGTGAACAAGTCTTTTGCAGCAAAATATATACGTAGCGAAATTAAAATTGGATTTTCATAGTTAATGTTTACCGAAACCAATAAATGTTGCGCATAAATATTATTTTGTTGCATTTGAATGAAATACAATAAAAAAAGTTATTCATCAACACAATACTTAGGAAACATAGGCTAGGGCCTATCTGGTAGGCATTCGCCACTGGAAAGCCCGTCGTATTAAGTAGTTACTTTTTTTAACGAATTGTGAATGTCCTACGCCATATGCAGAATCTAATACTTTAGTGAAATCAAAAAATTTCTGCGAATGTCCAAATGTAAATGTAATTATTCCCAATAGTGCGTATTAGGGCGCCTTCAAATTAGACACACGTAGAAGTGCGGCAGTGGCGCGTCGGTGGCGCTGTAGCCGCGACCCTACTAATTTTATACAATTGTTTTTTTATACAATATTTAGCGTCGCTGCTGCATGGTCACTATCGCGCCACACGCGTGCCACTTTTGCAGACAATTTTTTTTATTATCCTACTATGTCCCACGGCTGGACAAAGGTCTCCCTCAAAATTCTCCACTGCTCCGTCATTTTAGTAGCAGTAGAGCTCGTTAGGAACGAGTTCGTCGAGGGCAGTACTGCCACCTTACCTATTTCTGGTGGTATAGACTCGATAACATTCATAGCAGAATAAAAAACACGTCCGATCGGACGATATCCCGCGGATGTATTTTACAGAAATACCTATGGGTCTTGTGGTAGGCGACACGCATATCCATAACAGTTGCAGTGCCCTTCAAAGCTTTAAATCGTAAAGATGCGAAGGCACTCACTCAGAGATATGAAGTTGACAAGGCTCTTATGCCTGTGCTATCACCAGCACCTTTAACCTTCAAAATTGAACGCAGTAATGTTGATTTTACTGCTCGGCGGCAGAAATAGGTAACGGAGCAATACAATGCCTGGAAAGACTATTTCACAAGAAGCTCTACTTCTACTAAAAAAATTGTATATATTTGAGAACGTTTTAAAAGATTTATGCTACAACTTCGACTGTGATCAAAACGGGAAATAGCCACTGGATTGTTGCAGTCCCAAGAGTTTCGTATTCATGCATATTTTGATTATCATGCATAGCAAGTAACAACCTGCATGGCGCATTATACAGGTTCATATTATTAGATGTAGAGAACAACTGGTTTCTTTAAAATGAAAAAAGTGAACAATTTGATTTAATAAGTGTAATGTAAAATTTGTGTTTACGAACAAAACCATTGTTTCTCTAGCTTTTGATAAACTACAAAAAAAAACATGTACAGCCGATAGCTTTAAACATACCAAAGCAGATTTCTCACAGATGGCGCTACGGCAAAAAGTCGTTAAAAATAAAAAACAAAACTCTGCAACAAGCACATAGAGAAATTCGTGAGGTCCGCTGGTTCGTTCCGTGGCTTAGTTGGCACGGCTTTTAGAAGATGCTGATTCGAATCCGGCCAGATCGAAGGATTTTTTCGTGTTCTATCTTTCAATTCATATTATATACGTTTAATGCATAAAATGTACGTAGAGAGAGGGGTAACTTTGCGATCCCACACTATTCAAGTCCCCATTTAACATTTACCCCGTTGACTTATACGCTGAAGCGTATATAATTTACGTACATTACTTAAACATAATAAACTCCTATTTGAATTGCGACGTACACATTGTGACGTACCTATTGTGATATCGCTTTGTGCCAGTAATAGCTCATAATATATTGATCAATATATACGGATCACATTGTAGAATTCGTATTATGTTTATTGCATTTCTAAATGGTTTCCTTAGATATAGAATGTAATATTTAAATAGCAGTAGAGCTTCTTGTCAAAGAGTTCGTCCAGGGAAGTATAGCCACCTTACAGTGATACATTGTAATGTGATCAGGTATCCAACAACCACCCTATCAACATCATCGAAAATGTGATTTGTGCTGCAATTGATTCAACTAAGCAGGCAGGCCTTCTTCTGAAAATAGTATGAACGCCATCCTTTCGCGAATGTATCAAAGTCAAATTCAAAGTCAAATAATCTTTGTTTCATACGTAAGCAAATTGCACTTGAAATCGTCATACTGAGTAAACTTTACTGTTCATTCGTAAGGCAGATTCCCCTGACAAGAATGAGCAAGAAACTCCAGGGGTTGCTCTTTGTAAATATTATATTATACATATATTTAAATACATTTATCACTACAGTATTTTAATTCAAATATCTTAGATCGTGACTATCTGAAAGAGCTACCACGGATTTTTGTCATCCAAGTACGCAGAATGTGTATAACAAATAACCTTTAGTATAAAGTTTTTATTTCACTACAGTTTTAAACCTCGTAAATGGCAAATTTTGAATATCAATCGAAATCTTATTATAGAAGCGTATATATTGACCTTTAAATGAATTTGAGACTTTATAAGGAGCACTGTCAAGAACAGCTAATTTATTTTTATTCCTCGTACTAATGTTATATCTGTCACTATTTTTCATAAAAAAAAATTATTTTTCTTAACATAAATAACATTTTCATAATTGTGCTGTGGCGTTAGTGTAACAATGTTAATCTCTTTAAACTTGTCTCTCAAAGACACTCTGGGGCGCAGATTGTAATTGCCTAAACCGCACGTTTCTGCAAGACAAAGATTATATTAATATCGGCGGCATTACCCCAAAGCAAAATGCCGTATGTCATTAAAGTGTGAAAGTAGCTGAAGTATAGCAATCTAGTTGTTTCGACATCTGAAAGTTTTCGTATTTTTATCGCGTACACTGCAGCGCTGAGCTGTTTTGATAACTTAAATAACTGATACAACAACTCCAACAACAGTCTAAACGCGTGTTGTACTGAATGCGCAGAGCGTTGATTGTCCTCTGCCTTCACTTCACTCACAGATTAGTAGTTTTAAGTAAGATTGACAGATTGCATGAAAAGGCCTAAATACCTATCACCTTAACGGGTCCAGCGCTACGTGCGCGTATAAGGAATAATAGTATGGATTCTTGTGTTTTCTTATTTTCTCATAAATCGGTTCTTTTTGTAAAACACCTATAAGATAATCAATCTTCTTTTATCTAGAGTTACCAATGTAACTATGAATAGTTCAAGTTCAGGAATTTGATAATATCGATGAATTTATCTCAAAGTATGAATAAAGTCTTGTGTACCTTGGGCGGCGTGGTGGCGTGGTGTCGGGCAGAGTGCGTTCTTCGGGTGGCTTTGTAGTGCAGCCGCCGCAGCGCGCCGCCCAGCCGCTCCGGCGAGCTCTCGCCGCGCGCCACCGTCATGCTGCCGACGCCTGCTGCAACACCACAGAGCACAGCTAGTAATGGCTTTCAAATCATTTAAAGCATTCAAGGTGATCGTGCTGACAGAATAACCACAAACTTGTGAAGAATTTTATTTACCTGCAGCGATTTCAGGGGTGGGTCGAGACGACTGGATTTTGGGAGCTTGGTGTCGCCCATCCGCCTGCAACAAACCAGAACGCCTTAGCTGCCTTGTAATGCAATAATTGTTTTGACTATTAAGAGATATGAACTCTGCGCTGGCAAGTGCAGCCAGTTATCTGGTATAGTTGTAAGCTACAGCAAGATTAAGTTTGTTGAGAAGATCGCAACATTTAATCTTGTTATTTATAGCGTTATGTAGAAATAACAGGTCAGTAACCCAACGTCTGTGCTCTAAAAACATTTAAGAATATTGACTACTTCTGAATTACAATTTTTTTTTCAGCTGAAGTTTGGTCACTCGGTTAACGACAATTGGATGTGATAGAGAAATGTTATAAGGGACACGTTAAAGTACCAATCGCTAATAGCGGAGACCCGTCGCTGTTTGATAACCTGATTATTCAACCCTCCTTTCCACGCTCTGAGCTTGTTAACTGGGTGTGGCATTTGATACGTTATTATATATTGTAGCGATGTTGTTAATATGAAAAATTGATTGGATTTCGACCTTCGCACATTGAGAGCTAATATATTGTACTAATAAGGGCACAAACATCGATATTGTGAGTTAATATGATTAAACTCCACAAGCTTTCAATTCGCATCACAGCAGGGCTGCTTCTGCTGCGGTAGAAATAAATAGAGTGTCCGTCCGAGTGAAAACTTGTTAGGCCGAACCCAAAAATAAATTGAGGCATAGATTCAAAATCCCTAAATAAAGAGGGTAGAAGTGCTTATTAAGAAATCGTCCCAGTGCCCTTGCCGGCAATTAGGGCGAGGCAGTTGGGTCAGCGGCGGACGGCGACGGCGGGTGACCCAAATCAGGTTATGGACCTTTTGATGTCTTACACCATTGTACCCTAATGTCACGCTTTTCCTTTCAATATTTCAATTGTATATTCTTTGACGTTTCTATGTGAGATGGTTTTAATCATAGTTAGACCCGCATTGGTACCAAGAGGGTTCTAGGTATTAACAATCCAGTGTTAACAAAAAGAGACCAGTTTGTTGCGACATTTTGACAAATAGTTTTTTTGTCGTATATATGTTACGCGATAACTCCGATATTTGTGAACCGATTTTCATGATTCTTTTTTGTTGGAACGAGGGTACCTCAGTAGTGGTTCCATTTAAATTAAAAGAAAATATTCCACCTCAAAGGGTGACAATCTAGGGGATGAATCCGGTTTCGCGCGCTTTCCCGTAACCGATTTCAACAAAACTTGGCAAATAGATGAAAATCCACGAACTTTTGAAGTCGGTTTTTTTAGTACTCTGTACGGAGATTATTTCTGAAAGACATTTAACATTTGTCCCCTATAGCTTTGATTGCGACATCGGACAATAAAAGGGCGCGCTGAAGGCTTTTAACCCGTAGCGCTATAAAACTACGGAACTCTTACACATATGCGTCATCGTATCGCTTAGACATGTGAGCACAGAAGCATCGTCATTCCATTATAAGTCCCACTGCTGGGCATGGTGTCCTCCGTATCCGCCACGCAGGATAATAAGGGTTGGGCACTTCACACGTTTTCGAAGGGATGACGAATGTTAATCCCGATTTTTTTATAATATCAAGAGACAGGACGAACAAGTCGTACGCCTGTTGGTAAGGCCTGTCACACGCATATCCATAACAATTGCAGAGCCACTCAGAGCTTTAAATCGCAAAGATATGAGGGGCACTGTTACTGCACCCGTCACTCTAAGACACAAGTAGACAAGGCCCATGTGCCGGTAATTTCACCAGCACTCTTACCCTTCTAAACCGGAACACAGTAATGCTAGCGTTACTACTTGGTGTCAGAAATAGGTAAGGTAACTAACTCCCGGCGCATGTATTCCCTCCCCTCTATAACATCGGGTCCTTCAAACGTAGTGTGAAGAAGCATTTGGCCAGACCGGCAAAATGATAGTGACGGAGTGAAGATATTTGTGTTTTCCATCCGTTACTCTCATCTCTGGACTGTATTCGCACTTTCCATCAGGCGCGGTGCAGTCATTTTGCCGAGTCACAATAAAAAAAAAAGGTGACAGTGCTTCCCTGGACGCACTCTTTCACATGAAACTCTACTGCTTTTTCCGTCACTCTTAAGTGAGAGTTGTTGCTACTAATCATTTACAAATGGACGAAGTTTAACAATAAAATTAGGAGATAAATAACTGTGATCAAAGTAATAGGAAAGCCCGCGAAGTATTTCACTAAACGACACCAAAACAGTGATCTCTGATTTTAATTCGAACACGCAATATTCAACTTAAACGTAATTGATTCATTCATAATCATGTTCAGACACAACACGTGCACGTCATCTCGAACACAGCGTGCCGATGAATATGCGTTACAGTTAATCACCTACGTCTGAACTCGTATTTAATCGCAGCGCGATTAATGTACCATGAGTCGTCAATTATAGCTTAATTACCAGCAACGTGACGGAATCTTGGTGCCGCACCGCTGCTATTGGTAATTAAATAAATACATAGTTATACATATATATACACTAGTCAGCCGTTGGTAGCTGTAAAAGAACCTGGCTGAGTGAAGAAAAACTTTTACAGTCATTAAAAACAAAAAACAAAGATCCGCAAAAACAAGCACATAGAAAAATTCATAAGGTCTGCCTTGGGAGAGCGTCCAGCACGGTATGCTGAAGGCATTTTTCTTGGGTGCGGCTTGTAATATATAACAACAAATTTAGTCGATTTATCGCTCAACAGTTTTAATTAATTTATGGTATACAGACATTTGACATATTCTTGCATGTCATAAAGGTCACTGGGTATAATAAACGATTGATATAACAACTTTCAATCTAATGTACCGATGGCATAATGTTCATTTTATGTAAACACTTCACATATAACATTCACAGAGTATAATGTATTATAAATGAAATAAAAAAAATAAAATTTAATAAATAAATATAATTCCAGGTCAATTTATGTGCAATGGTGCATGATCTAATTTGTTTGCATTGGCTAGTTGGTTTGACCCCCTCCTGTAGGTTTAGATTAGGTTAATATATGACAAAGCTGCAAGAGACGAGACAGTGCAGCGAGCGTGTCGCAACAGCGGCCGGCGAGTGCCAGAACCGAATAATAAATAAAAAGTATAATAAATAAATAATAAATATAGAGTCAGGCAGGGTTAAACAACACGATAGAGATATGGTTTTAGAATTAGACAGCAAACTTATAAAATCTAATCTAATCTAAAGATAAAGTAGCCCAAGCTTTTGAATCGTTCTTTTCGGAAATTGCTGTGAATACTACAGAATCATTAAATTCCTCCCCTTCACTTGCTATTGATCTCCTAAAGTAAAATTTTAACGTTTGTGGCCATTGACTTACAAGTAAATGGACGACGGGTCTAATACAAAAACCACGAAAAAATGTTCCAAGTCAACCTATTTAAGCGTAGTGACATGTAAAGGAATATAAAAAAGCTAAAACGTTGAATTTTAATAGTAATATCATCGCAGTACTGTCTAATTATGCTTGCTTCGCTGTCAGTCGAATAAACAAAGACTAAAGCGTGAATGACGCTCTGTATACGATTTTAACGCCCTATAAGTTCGGACACTTTTTAGCGCGGACACGACGTCCATATAATTGTAAGTCAATGTTTGTGGCAGTTTATTTAATTTCCGTCATGTTAACCCACAAGACATCATAAAAGCCTTTAAATCAATACATGTTAAAAAACTGAAGATCTCTGGGGCATATCAACTAAAGTTATAGACTCAGTTATTGATCTAATTTCCCCAAATTTAGCTGTAGCTTTCAATAGGTGCGTTGACGAAGGTGTTTTTTCCCGATTTAATGAAATACAGAAAGGTTATTCCCTTATTTAAAAGCGGTAGGAAAGTTGATCCTAGCAACTATAGGCCTATTTCAATTTTACCAGCTTTAAGTAAAATATTCGAAAAGGTTATGCTAACTCAATTACTGTCCTATTTCGGTAGGAATCATATTTTTCATAGTGAACAATGCGGGTTTACTAGTGGTAGATCGACTAGTGATGCGGGGGTAGCGTTACTAAAACACATCTTTGATGCTTGGGAACGGTCCCAGAACGCTATTGGTGTTTTCCGTGACCTCTCAAAGGCATTTGATTGCGTTGATCATATTACTCTTATTAGGAAGCTGGAACATTACGGTGTAAATGGCAAGGCGTCGAAACTTGTCATATCTCAACGGTAGAATTCAGAAAGTAGACATAAATGGAGTGACTTCTTTGGGTTCTCTGGTAAAAATGGGTGTTCCGCAGGGCTCAATACTTGGAACTTTCTTATTTCTGATTTATATTAAATATCTGCCATTCTTTGTTTAGGACCATTGCGAAATAGTGTTGTTTGCTGATGACACATCCTTGATTTTTAAAACAGACAGACAAACTCTCTAAAGTAGTTTATTGGTTTAATGCTAACGATTTATTGCTTAATGCCAAGAACACAAAATGTGTTAAATTTGAATTACCTAACGTAAAATCGACTAGTCCAAGCATAGAAATAAACGGAGAAAAGTTAGACCTTGTTTATAAAGTAGTCTTCTTGGGAGTGACCTTAGATAGTAAACTTTAATCGTTTCCACATATATCTTCCCTGGCCAGCAGATTAAGCTCCGCTGCATGAGTATGCAGTAATAACATAGGTAAACACACGTATTTTGCGTACTGCGTAGTCCGCAGAATACGTGAGCTTACCGATGTTAGTACTGCTAGACTAGTTTACTTTAGTTACTTCCATAGTATAATGTCCTACGGGATTCTCATGAGGGGTAAAGCGGCAAATATTCAAACGATATTTGTATTGCAAAAACGAGCGATTCGTTCTGTGTACCGTCTAGACTCTCGGGTTTCTCTCAGAGAAAAGTTTAAGGAGACTGGTATCATGACTGTGGCGTCACAGTACATTTACTCAAATATTTTATATGCCCGTAAAAATATACAAAATTTCAATAAGAAAGAAGATATCCATAATATTAACCTTAGAGCTAAGTCCAAACCACGAT